GCACATGTCTTCTCCCGTTTCTGAGACGGTTAGGAAGCAATTTATATCGTACTATCATGATCATATATTAAACAGGGGAACAGAAGAGTACTGTGGAGTGATGGGCGCCGCGGACATAATTTGCTCCACGTTGGGTAAGGCTGTGAGCGGGGCTGCAGGCGGTTACACAACAGGACCTAAAGAGCTCGTGACGTTGCTTAGAAATGTATCCCGGCCTTACCTCTTCTCTAATGCTCCACCACCGCCCGTGGTCGCTGCTTCCTTAAAGGTAAACTAATTTAATATTATCCATTAAATAAAAATTGCATGCACAATAAACACACAGATAATAATAACCCAAAATAAGAAGTAATAAAAAAGTTGATTAATTAATTAAAAATGCTGTAATTAAAATGAATAATTTTAATAAAAAGAAATAGCGATTTTCAATATTAAACTATTTATAAAAGTTGTAGCGGACTTTAAAAAATTAAAAATGATAAAATAATTTTGGCGTCTCTTTTATTAACATAAGGAAGTGATTGTGATTTATCACAAGCTCAAAGTAACAATTAGAATGTTGTCTAAATTCTACAGTAAAAATTTCAACCCCTATTTTCCCACCTTTAAGGGTAGAATATTTTTCTTCAACTTTATATTGAATAACCATGAAGTTTTTTTTAATAAAAAGATGCATTAAATCGCTTTACAATTGACGAAGATATCACATAACACAGATATATACAATGTATAAAAATGGGACATCCTCCTATTTTGAAGTTAATTAAAAATAAACACGTTCCACGGTAAACATTATTTACCTATTATTTAAGGAAATACAGAAACATTGCGAGAATCAATGGCCGTAATATGGCTTAACATTTCAAGTCGAAATTACTTTTATTGCGTACATTGGGCCTGTGCTTCACCAGCCATCACTTCAAAGGAAAATAATAAAGAAACAAAATGACGAAAGGATTAAAATTAAAATTTAATCACTTACTTCCAGGCACTAGATCTAGTGGAACATAGCGGTGAACTTCGACAAAGGCTACGAGAGAACACGCGCGCATTCCGTACAGGCCTGAAGTCTGCCGGACTGACGGTTGCTGGTGATGACCATCCCATATGTCCTGTTATGGTGGGCGACGCACCGCTAGCTGTTGAGCTAGCTGCGGGAATGCTTGGTACGTTATCATAATTTCTTAGTCTGCTCTGTGATTGATTTAACCGGCGTTATGGCTACTTCAGGGTTATTCCGTTTATCCACCCTAAAAATCCACCATAGGCTGGATGGATACTCGGAATCGCGTGTTCATCTATCCATCTCGTCTGGGGTGGATAATCGGGATTCACTTATATTTTTTCTTTCAACTTTTTACCTCAAATACTGAGCTGTACTCATACACTTTAATTATTAATTTTTTATGAACACAAACCTAAACAAAAATCATATTGCGTATTGCCGTTACCGTCACCGTTATAGCCTATTCTGCATTACGTATTGCATTTAAACTAAATTAAACTTTCTTGTTTTAAAGAATATTATTAAGTAATACATAAATTCTGAAATAGGTCCAAGAAATTACAAACACACTCATTTCATTATTGAGTAGACGTAATTTGATATTCTGGATAAATTCGTCACTTTTAATGTATACATTAGCAATCGTTTTCTAAATTATTTTGCTACAACAGATGTGTAAGCGAAAAGTTATTTTGCAAGATTCCCAAAAACGTACTTTTGGATGTTTGTCTTTAGCTTCATTTAAAATTGTTTTATGCCAAGGTTCCAATGAATCTGTGGTCCTATGAGGTACTCCTTTTATTTCACCGTTGACCTTTGAAACAAAAAATATGTATATATTTTTATAGGTATGCTAATATCTACTAAGTATCTTAGGCCAGTTTTTATCATGTTTCTCTAAATGTACGTTCATAGCAGAGGGAGAAAATCGGAAGAAAAATAATATATACGAATTCCGATAAATTTTTTAATAGAAGAGGGGGCAAACGAGCATGCGGCTCACCTGATGGTAAGTGACTACTGCCGCCCATGAACAACCGCAACACCAGGGGAATTGCAGATGCGTTGCCGGCCTTTTAGAAAGGTGTAAGCTCTTTTCTTGAAGGTTCCTAAGTCGTATCGGTTCGGAAAAATCGCGGTGGTAATCGATTCCACAAGGAAGTTGTGCGAGGGAGAAAACATCTTCTAAATCGCACAATAATGGACCGCAAATCATCCAGATGGTATGGATGGTATAGCGAAGTTTGTCGCGATGTGCGATGGTGAAATTGAGCGGCTGGAATTAGTCCGAACAATTCCTCAGAGCACTCCCCGTGATAGATGTGATAAAATACGCAAAGAGATGCAACATCTCTACTCTATTGTTCTTCTATCCACCCCAGACGACAGGGTGGACAGATAAATAGGTGGATAAAGGGAATAACCCGCTAATTTAGCTTATTTATCCGTTGCAATACATCGGTAAATCTGGTTTTACTATGAATAGTTCGCTGAGTGACTTTAAGCATCTTATGCGAACCACAACGTTGAACCACGTCTCGTGTGTCAGACCACATAGTGGTTGTAAGCTTCAGTTTTTACGAATACGGGACAAGATGTGTCCTTATTTCTTAAACACTTCCCAGCCGAATTGGATTCGTCGATTGGCTTCTTAATTAGGTCTACCTATTCGTACAAGTTCTCCTACTAAAATAAACTATCTAACAAATTGACAAGGACGGTAGTTATCATCTTCGTCTTGTCCATGTTAATCTTAAAACCAGGGGCGTAGCTACCGCCGTATCAATGATACGGGGCCCCCGGGGCTACAGAGGCCCCGAACGTATATAAGCAAACATTCTAAGGACTTCTATGGGACAGGATGTTGGTTTGAATTGTTTGGCTAGCTTAGTTCCTAGCAGTATTAATTGTAAGTAATAACTTATAATCAATATAGAATTATTTTAATTCAATGCGTGAGGTTTTGTGAAAAATCTTTACCCTTTATTTGGGCCCCCCGACTAATTTTGATACAGGGTCCCTCTAAGGCACGTTACTTCACTGCTTAAAACCAACACTATTGATGTCATTGAGCATAGTGATAAGGCCCTTCAGATATTCTGCCATATTGACTATGTCGCAGGCAAATAGATAATCAGTGATATTGACTCGCCATTGAAGAAGACGCAGAGCTTTAAAGAGTTGCAGACCGGACTAAATACGGTGGTTGCGACTCTATAAACGTGCTTTCATCATTACAGCTCTTCCCAAGTCCACTGCTGAACATAGGCCTCCCCCAAGGAATGCCACAAAGCACGGTCCTGAGCCACCTGCATCCATCGACTTCCTGCATATCTTACCAGGTCGTCACTCCATCTAGTGGGGGAACGCCCTACACTTCGTCCGCCGGTACGAGGCCGCCACTCGAGAACCTTTTTTCATAAACGTGCTTTATACTCATATAATCGTTTTAATGCGATGTTAATGTCGATTCTTAAATCTGGCTGATGATAACTTAAAACAAAATGTTGTTTGTTTTACACTATTGTCAGTCTTTGTTAACAGATTTTAGCAACGCGTAACATCATTTGATAATTATATAATTTAATTTAATTAATCAAAAACATTAAACAGTTTTTATAATATTATTTCAGAGCGTGGCATTTATGTGGTGGCATTTAGTTACCCAGTGGTACCAAAAGGAGGCGCGCGAGTTCGAGTACAACTAAGCGCTGCGCACACGCAAGAAGATGTAAAATGTGCCGTAGATGCATTTACAGAGGTCGCTAGAAACGTTGGCATTGTTAAATCTTAGAGTTTTGACGATAAAACTATATATTTATAAATATTCATTATCCAAATTATGTACTTAAATATAAATATGTTGAATACAGTGCTTTTAAATAAATTTTATTATAAGTTATTTTTCATTTTATTTATACCGAGCTCAGGGATAGAGTGCTCGACTTAATTTTCATAGTATGTGAGCTCTTGAATACGATCCTGCCAGCACTACTAAAATTCTTATTTGTACTTATAAAACCTCATTTAACTTACTGAGCGGTGAAAGCATACCTATGAAGCCCACTAACATTTTTTTTTATAGAGAATAAGGGTGATAAGCGAACACGCAGTCAACCTGATGGTAAGTGGACACTTCAGCCCATAAATATCTACATCTGTTCTCCGGGTCTCCGGTTTTCTACACTGACCATATGAAACAGCATTGACATACGATAAAATAGCAGACAAATTTTTAACAAATAATAACTTGTACTGATGTTAAACACTCGCTGTCCGCGGTGCAATAAAATGGGGAAACAAGACGCCATTTATTGCGCTCTCTATCGCACTTACGGGCCTTACGGTAGGCCTGTGTATCTTGCCATAAGGCCCGTACGTGCGACAGAGACAGCCGACATCCTGTTTCCCCATTTTGTTGCACCGCGGGCTGCGAGTGTTTAACATTAGTATAATATATAACGGTGTGGATTAAAAACAACCACTATCAACAATAATTTATTATAAGTAACTCACACGTTTATTGACTTCATATAACACTCAGTGCGACCACATAATAAAATCTCTACGTCCAAATAAAGTCATATTTAAATCTAAAATTATAAATATTTACATTGTAATCAAATTGAGTTTTCACTCATTCATCACGTATTGCATATGTACAAAGACTTCGTTTAGGAGCTTTTAATAGTTGACTTGTCACACATTTAAGGTTGAGGCCAACTTCGATTTTTCGATGTACATAAATCTATGTTATAAATTCCACCCTCCTATTATCTAATACTTCTGAGCAATCCTGAACCAGTTTCATTTATACAATCCTCTTGACTATATCTTTACGCCTATACATTTGGAGGGTATCGTTTTTCAACAAAATGTTGCCTTATGTATAATTATGAGGACGTTTGGGTATCTTCAGACCGAGGTTAGTGAGCAATCTTCAATCTAACTTAAACTCAAGCTGTATATGCAATTTAGAATGTTTGCTTTTCTCTCAATGACGCAAAATTGACGGCTTTACTGGAGGACCTGCAAAGAAAAAATAATTTCGATAAATTATAAATTTCCATAGGAAAAATAATATATTTTAATATATTAACGTTATAAATTTGCCAAAGAAATTTAATAAGTTCTTGCGTAGAGACCAAAAATTAATATTCAAAAATTGAAGGTAGCCGGGCTAACTATGACATCGAGACGTCAAACTCCTCAATGCTTTACAGCACCCGAAACGTTGGGAATTTTTAAAATAAACGAGATAAAATATGTAAAATTACTTTCATTTAATGAGATTTAATAAGAGCCAAAAATATACTAAGGTAAATAGCAATAAAACCCTAATTGGTTTTGGTAAAGGGTAGAAAAAGCATTGCTCCAGATACAAAAGGTGTAGTATTATGATAGCCAACAGAACTTGTAAGCGTGGCGGATATGAAAAAACCCTTTCTTCACGGGAAATTTTTGTTTTGGATATGGGGACATCCAAAAGAAAACTGTTTACGGGGTTATGATGAAGATAATGTATATGATGCTAAACATTTATACTAATGTTAAATACTCGCTGCCCTCGGTGCAATAAAATCCTGCAGTAAGGCCCTTAAGTGCGACAGAGTTCAACAGGCGGCGTCGGTCCTGTTTCCACATTTTATTGCACCGCGGGCAACGAGTGTTTGACATTAGCATGGTACATTTTTCCGTAAAGAAATATATTCAACTAGCTGTTCCATGCGACATCGCCCGCGTGTAATTATTTTACGCGGAACCCTAAAATAAAAGAAGCCTAAGATACTCTTTATAATATCAGCTATCTGTCAATGAAAGTCCCATCCAAATCGATTCACAGGTTCTTGCGTGATGCGTGTTCAGACAGACGTCGTGTTAGAATTTTATTATAGTATAGAATATAGATAAATAATATAGGCTCACGCGTCTACCATGCGTAAACATCATATATAGCGATGAGCGATGTTTTCCCCCACCTCGCCCGCAGTGCGCCCGACCACCCTGCGCGCGCTGGACAGCACAATTGTATATCGTCATATCTTTTTAAATATTTGACCAAATTACATAATTTAAAAGACAAATTTTGTCTACTTTGAATATCAGAAGCGATAAAAGTATTTGTTTTCATTTTATTGCAAAATGTACGTTCAAAATAAAGTATAAAATTTTATTGTATTTATGGTTCATTACTTTAGTAATAATGGCTTACACATAAAATATAGATATATAACGTCGCAGACTTTTTTGTAGAACTATTTAGGAGAAACAATTCCATAATACATTATATTTGTATATATGCAATACTGTAAGAGTTACTCTTACAGTTTTGCACTGCACGCGAAAATAGCTCGCAGATGACAGATTTTTTCCGACGTACTGAACATTTATCGTTATATTTTATCCAATTTACACAATACCTTTGTGAATTATAGCCTATGCGTTATTATGATGTATGAGCTATATTATTGTAATGTTTCATTATAATACATTCAGTAGTTTTTGCGTGAAAGAGGAATAAATATCCATACATACTCACAAACTTTCACGTTTATAATATTAGCAGGATAGTAGGGCTAATAGGATTAATGATGATAATTTTTTTGATGCTGATCCCGTTCTGGGTATTTTACTTCTGTCGTAAACAAAATGGTCTTTTTGACATAACATCCCATATCGAGACCAAGGAGATTGCAAAATATAGGGAGTGCACACTTCATCTAGAGAAACGTTCCTAAGACCTTGAAATGAATGAAAGGCACCGAGTTAAGCGTTCCATTTCATTCCAATAGTGTCCATGATACAATATTTTGAGGATATTAATAGTATATACAGCATTACGGAAAACGAAATGCATTTTTTTTTTCAATATGGAAAGTGTTGAATAGTGTTATAATTAAACTCCGTTTGATATTTTGATTACATGATTACTTCGCTACAGTATCAAACCTTACGGTAACGAGTGGCGGCGTAGCGTGGGTAGAGCCATGCTGCAGCTATATTAGTAGTATAGTTGTAGCACAAATGGGTCGGCTCGACCGGGCAAGGACCACGCTCTCACAGAATACCAGCGTAAAATGGCAGTTTGACACTGCTGTGTTTCGCATGATGAGTGTAGAGAACCGGAAACCCTTTCACGGGTGACACCGCATCTGCATTTTGATTCGCAAACGAGGATAGATGTAGATGTCTATAGGCCACAGCAACCACTTACCATCCGGTGGACTGTGTGTTTTAGTGTTTTTTTCGCGTTACTTAATAATATGCTTAATTGAAATACAATATGGAATATCCCAACTATGATTAGCGATAAAAATGTAATATTACTTTAAGTCAATAACTATCTAAACGTTGGTAATGTTTTTATTTTGTGTAAACATTTATCAATGTTAGAAGGAGATAAAATACAAAACTCGGTGCCTCTCTTTCTAAGAAAAAATGAGGAACGGTTACAATGTTCCAAGCGCTCACTCCCTATATTATAACCTCCTTGATCGAGACAGACTAATGAACAATCCGTTCGGAAACGGTGAACTCAAATTTCACAGACTGGTAATACGAGGTAAATCCGCACACAGTCAACATATGCCGGATTTCTATATTTGAAAACGCTTCGTTTTCTTTTAAGAGCCGTTTTACAATAAATGAAGTAGATGAAAATCCTTTTTTTTTAATAGTATAAAGTTTAATATTTAATATATAACTAGTTTAACTATTCATATATTATTAAAAGTATTACATATTTATATATTATTAAAAGTTCTTTTCCTTTAAAATCATCTAGTTGCTGAATTAGTAGTTTGTAATATTAACTGTTTTAATGTGATAAAACGGAGAACGAAACGTTTCTTGAATATAGAAATCTGGCATTATGGTATATAAATGTCCATAGACAGACCAACATGTATGCTTGATGCAGATGCTTTGTGACCGCTGGGGATTAAGATGGGATGCTCCCGTACCAGTATTGTGCTGCTATATTTATATTACGATGGCATTGTACCAGCGTGGTCCTTCCCTAGTCGAGCTGCAGTCATAATACATCCTAGGAAAAACCAATACCCAGCAGTGGTCTTAAAGGCTGTTTATGTGACGTGTTAATAAGTTTGGCCAGTTATAAAAATATACAGGGTTTTTTTTTTCAAAGAGTAGCCAAATTTTAAACTTAAATTAAAATATATAAATAATGATATACCGTTACTGCAGTATTTTGAAAATACGAGTAAATAAGGCTTCTATTTTTATTTTGAAATTATCCCTAACTGAATGTGATTTATGCGCAACAACGTTTTTGCCTACCGATCGACTCTTATGCATGCTGCGTGCGCAGTAAAATAAGTAAAAATCAGTTAATGTATTACACGCATTCAGATTTTTTAAATTAATTTTTCTTCACCCTTTGCCTATATTACTTACTCTGAGCCTTCTCTGCAAATTTGGCCGGTTGTTTCAAAATAACCCTGTTTACGTCGATTAGGTATTAGAAGTTCTAATACCTAATCGACGTAAACAGGGTTATTTTGAAATTTTCTAATTTAGAACGGTGGTAGAATGTAAAGGAAATATCTTTAATATGTACTTCTTTGAAATACTTAGTTTTTAAACATACGGGTATGTCAAACAAACGATTAGAACTCGATCCCACTATTCAGTAGCTAATATGACATGACTCTCTTCAACCATTACGTTCACGCAGTTGTCAGAACGAACAAATATAAAATTTCGACTAAATTATCTATGATACCTGTTGTATATTATACTATACATACAAGGTTCAAGGTCCCCAAACAATAGGCGTAATGCGAACAAAAATAAGGAAATTATCGCTTATATGGTTCCCCTGTCTAGAAATGTGTGATTGATGATGTGATTTAGCAACGAGTTTAGTTTTCGACGTATCAAGCTTCGAAATAAACAAGTTTTTAATAAAAAAATTTGATTAGCGTTTATTAAAATTATAACAAACACTATAGCACCTAAGTTCCGTATAAGCTTTGTCTGTATCTTGCTTAATAATGCTTGATCCATTTTTATGTGGTTTCACCATATCACTTACAGAATAACGAAAGTTTTCGTGTAAAATACAAGTATTTTTAAGTAAGGATAGTATAAAATTAACGTCTTGTGGTCGAGTCCTAACAAGATCACACCACATTAGTAAATCACACCTGTGCGACGTTGGAGTAAATCGCTAGTTCAATATAATATATAAAAACAACGTTTCTTTGTTCGTATTTTATGCGCTGCCGTACCATTCGTCAGATTGCGGCAAAACTTTGTCAACTTATTGCTTGCACTTACGCAAAGGTTATAGGGATAGTACAATCAATTTACACTAGGTGGCGCGCGTATCATATCGAAAATGTATTTCAAAGTTATAGCTCATTCAATGTCAATGATTAGGTATATTATCATTCCTAATTATTAATTGTTTATTTGTGTATTTGCTTAAAACAATATAACTCTTCCAAATTTAAAACGACATTTCCACAATTATTAGCAATGCGCCGTGTACCAGCTAATTAGATATAAAATGATTATTTGAACTGTGCAGTCAGAACAGCATTTGGGTCAAAAAATGAAATAAACCAAACTAATGTCAAAAGTTAGGTAAATCCCTTAATGGGTGCACCGAAGAGATCTTTTTTTTATATATAATACAGGTTCATAAACGAGAACACAGTTCACAGGGCAGATGCGTTGTCACCCCTGATGAGTAAGATGGAATGTCCAGTAAAAAGGGTGTCTACAGTCACCGTACGAAACATAGCAGTATAATTAAGCTGCTATTTCACGGTGGTATTCTGAGAGAATGTGGTCATTCCCCGGTCGAGCCAACCTATTCATTATATGTATAACTATAGCTCCAGCATCTCTACCATATACACACAACTTATATTCTTATTAAACTTTTTCTTTATTATATTATCTGCAGAACGGAATTCATAGGTGCGTCCCATCTTAACACGGACTTGATGATTTTTTTCATTAAGTCACGTAACTACCTGTTTGTATCGAGTACAAAAGGT